TGTATTAACACTGTACTCACCAGAAAAACTGTGGCTGTCAGAAGTAGGATGCAACGGAACTGAAAAAAGACTAGATGAATGTCCACTTCAGTTTTATGATGAAAATATACATAACCAGTGCTCAGGTAAGTATCGGTCTGCTGGAGCCATTTGCAGTGCAGCTATACAAAAAATGACATCTAAGATCAAATCTTCTGGAACGGAAAAAACAACAGAAAATACAGTGAAGACAAAAACTGATGAACGGACTAAAAATATAATATCGGTGACTAAGCTAGAAGCTATGTATAATTGGAGTGAAACTGAAATTCCAGAGAGTATGAAGATAAGGACAACGCCAATATCAACATTTGACGATACTGCACCTGTAACTAGCTCGCTGACTGTGAAAACAAGAGATTTTAAACAAGAAAAATCTTCAGCTGCAAAAAACGTTTTGACATTAGCGACATTTAAAACTTCAGAACTTCTGACCCCATACGATACTTCAGTTACGTCTACAACTCCCAAGAGTTTGAACGTGACAGAAACATACGTGTACATTGAAAACTATCATAATTCGCCTCCAGATGAGAATAAGACATATCAGTTCATAAACAATAGGACAGCTGATTACAATTCTTCACGTTTATTGCATCAAGAAATGAAAGTAGCAATGCCATTGAAATGCAGTATGGTCAATCAGGACACAGAAGGATGTGAGGATTATCTTGAGGATGATCCCAACGTTCAGGTAACAAGGATTTTTTTTTTTAGCTGACTCCTTAATTCACTTACTCATTTCCTGCTGGTTGTTTGGAACATTTGTTTTGCGTTTTTTTTTTTTTTTTTTTAAAGTATCTGAGTTGCGGTACCAAGAAAGTGATATTTTTTTAAAATTGAGTCGGGTATTCAAAAATTTGTTTACTAGAATGTCAAAACATCCCTTTCTTTTCTTATATTAATCTGAAAATGGGTTGGCAAAGGGGGGGGGGGGGGGGGGGGGGGAGGGGTAAGGGGCAATAACTTTTGCATACACAGCTACAGTACATCTTAACAAATAGCGGTAATTATATCTGTGATTGTACTTGATGTCCTTTACAAATGGTGAGCGATGGAGATAAGTAACGTATCATGTTGAATTGAGAATCGTCATCACCGTCACGAGTCCTGAGTGGTTAGTGATAGCTTTTGTGATAAGTAGGAGATTTACACCAGTGAAACTGGACTAATAACTGAACCCTGTTGATCTCAGACACAGCCCTGAATATCCAAGAAAACAGCCATGTTTTGCTCGTTATGTAAATTAACAGCAGCTGCACTTGTTACCCACAGACAAGAGAAGGAAAGGGGTTTTAGATTTCTAAATTACTTTAATTAGAGAAATTTTAGGCAGGGCAGTGGACCCCCTCCCGACGACCTCCTCCTGGTAAAGAATTACACTTGGACCAACGATGTAGTATACAACTTGATACTTAGCTTTAATATACTATCAGTCATTTAGACGACATTTGTCATTTTAACATAGTCACCCAGTGACTGGCTGATGGAATGGTGGTAATGAGATGCTTCAGCTAAAGAAAACTGAACACCTGAGATTAGTGATATTATAATGATGATAAAACTACGAACAAAAATTATGAACGCAACTTTGTGAATTTTATAACGTGAAGTCTCAGAGAGCCCTCGAAGTGAAGCCCTGCTTAGTTTTTCCAGAATTTCCACCTTATCCACCTCTTCCCAGCTTGCCGATCTCCTACGCAATGTAGGTTTGTGCACTTGGACTCTGTTTCTGCTATTAGAACTGACTGGTCTTTACTAGGGTTGTACGGAATATTCGCTTCTCATTCGCTTCGGGGCCTTTTAACTATTCGGTATTCGGTCGTATACTTGCTGTCGGGTTGAATATGATTAGTGGTTACCTCACACCCGTTTCTGCATACATTGTGATGGACTGAGAAAACTCTCTCATTAACACAATAGTTGCTGTTGGCCAAGTCGATCGTAGCGGGAGCAACTGCGATCCGGTTGTGTGGTAAAGCAGCTGGCAAGGTCTTTGCCTGCTGACTCGACGAAGGCATTACAGCAGAGGTTCTCAAACTGGGTGCTAATACCAGGGGGGCCGCAGCGAAAATCAAGAAATGTCGGCTAAACATTGTGACATTATTAAAGAAGGCATAAGGATACTTAAAAGTTACAATTTAAATTGTCTTTCCTCGCCACTGTCGACAAGAGTTTTTTCCTTGTTACACACGTTGTATTTATCTCGAGGTGCGACTGATCCTCCAGCTGTATTCGTAAAGGGGCAGCTGAGAAGTAAGGATGTGATTACATTTTGGCTGAAATTTTAAAGTGGAAAATGTGGTATGTACAATAGTAACTGTTAGTAAGCACTTATATTTAAGAGCAATGAGTCCTGGACAATCGGTAGGCAGGCCAAGCAATTTCTTGAAGCTTCAAAGATGTGGTTTTACAGAACAATGCTTAAAATTCATTGAACAGCCCCCCCCCCCCCCCCCCCCACACACACACACACAAGCAACCAAGAGGTTTGGAATGAAGAGGGAGCCCAAAGACAACTAATCATAGACATCAGAAGGAGACAGTCATCATTTTTCGGTCACGTTATGAAAAGAGGGAAAATGGAATATGTGGTTATCACTAGGAAGATCTGTTGAAGGAGGGATAGAGCAAGACAACGAGAGAAGATTCTTGACAGTCTTGTTGCATGCCATGCAGGTGTGTCATCACACGAACTAATACATGCTGCAGTAGATCGCAGATTGTGGCGAAGCAAGGCACCTGATAACGATGATACACTTTTCGTATTCGGCCGAATAGTTTGTCCCGCTAATCGTAGTCGGCTGAAAATTGAAAATCACTCTTCGGTACAGCCCTAGTCTTTACCCCTATGGGAACTGTAATAATCGAAACAAATAATATGTGTAGTACACTAAGCATGCATACACTAATAAAATATATCTCTACTTTCCTGCTCCTATTCGACATTCTGTCCCGTCCAGTCTGAAGGTCGTATGTCTCACACGGACGTCCTACAAATCCTGCCTTTCCACTCATGTATTTTCATGATAGTTGACATTCTAAGTCTGTTGTACGTCTTCACTCAGACTTCTAAACTGGCTGACATTGTTTTGACATGAACACGGGGCGCAGGTTATGTGCTGAAAAAACCAAAACATGTTATATGCGCATGCTGTCCGGAATATTACCTTTCCAGTAAAAGTAAATTCTATACACCATAACTTTTCCCAGGGTTATCAGTTACCTATGCAGGTAAACACATTTAGTGAGCACATGGTTGGCTGTAACAAATGCCACCACATTGCTGCACATTCAAGGCACATGATTTGAAACATAATTACATTAAATTAAATATCATTATTCAAGTCTTAATTTTTAAACATGAAAACTGAAAAACATGTGATACAAACATACAAGAAACAGGAATGGTTAAGCAGTTCCCTAACCAAGATAATTAAATATTGACAAAGAACTATTTCAAGCAAAATGTGTAGTTAGATAAATCAGGAAAGGTAAAGTAGACTTAACTGGCCTCCTAACCGATGAATAAAAGAGTAAAATTTATATTCCCTGATACTTGAGAAAATTGCAACCAATTGCCAAACACAAGACTCACACAACTGGAAGTACTTTCTGCTGTTGATCTGTATTTGTGGTATTTTGATCTGCAAACCAAATTAACTTTCAGATGCCTATTATCTTTTCCCCCATCTCAATTAGTAGAGTAGCTCCTCCCATTTACTAGTATCTAACCTGTCCTACAGGAGAGAATTTTAGCCATCCCCCTGAGGTACCTTACAGATCCAATTATCTTTCATTGTCATTGTCAATCAGTTCTGACTGCCCCTCTCTGATTACGTGGGGCAATCTAGTTCCAGCCAGTGTCACTGACAAGGTGTAAACAACTAACCACAAGGGGAGCCATTATGTCTGGAGTTTTCTACTTGACCTGGTTATTCACCTGATCTGGCCTGTTGAAAGGGCCCACCCAGTCTGGCCTGGGATGTAACCTTTATGATACTCTGGTCTGGTTTCCACATGTAATATTATGCGATCTTAGGCCAGGACTCATTTCTTTGTCTAGGCTTAGACTGGAAACAATGTTTAATTCCACATGGTTGTAGTATCTAGGCTTAGTGCACAGTAAATATAATATCGGTCTTTTAATTGAACAGAAGAAAATATTAAACACAATAATTTCGAAAACACTGAGGTCATTTCGTCACAATCACAACACTCAGGACACCCCCTAGGCACTCCATTCTTATCTTCAGCAGCAGGAGATGAATTATAATTCATTTGGCACCAGTAACTCTCTGATTGTATATCTGTCTCGCCTTTCGCTTGAATGTTGAGCGCCTTGTAACTCCTTGCAGCGCCATTCTCCCCAGACTGTAATGATCTTTCTGTGTTCAGCACTGTTCATTTGCTCCCAAAGAGCCTTTACAATATATATTCAGCTTGTCATACATCAGTTCACCACCAAGCAGTGCAGAACCGGACAGTCTTTCTGTCTGCTCATTTTCCAATACACCTGCATGATTTCGAGAAAATATCTAAAAGATAACCTATCGGGATTTAAAACTTAGTGACTTTACAATCTGGTCACCTCTACATAGCCTATGTCACCAGAGGTCGATATGTTGTTCCAAAGGAAAATGCAACACAAGATACTATGTACTGTTAAGTGGTCGACGATGTCACTGTCAAATTCATGGCAGATAAAGCAGTACATGGAAACAGAGATCAAAATTTTCTCAGCAGTCTTAGTTACAGCCATAGTAGTAACAAACTCACAGTGGCATTGACAAGGCAGTTACGTGTCGATGCCAAGATACACATTATAGAGGCTAAGAACAGTCAAGTCCTTAATGAAAAAACAGTAGTTTTGGAAATATGGACGAAATATTTTAAAGACTTATAAAATCAAGAAGCAGAGCTTGACATTGCAGTCGTTGACTCCATGGTATGGAAAAACAGAGAAGTTGGCGACGCTGAAATATTTAGAGAAGAAGGTGAGAAGGCGATACGCTCACTAAAAGAAAGTAAATCGCCAGGTGTGGACAACGTCCGAGTTAAACTCTTGAACTACGGAGGCAGGTAGGTAGATAGTTAGTTGTACCCCACTAGGACATCACCTAAGCAATTAACACCCGGTGGCACAAAGTGGTCCTAGAAACCCTTTTCAGCCATTAGGGTGGGGCTTAGAATAACAAAAAAATTGCTTTCCACGAGGGGATGACTTTTATTACGGCGGAGAACGCGTAACTAAGGTCATGACAGAAATGTTCCCGAGAATCTGGGTCACAAAGACGTGGCCTACTGAATGGACACAATCGTTGGTGATACCACTGCCAAGGAAAGAAAACCTTGAAAGCTGCAACAATTATAGAACTTTTAGTCTTATCACCCACGCAAGCAAAATAATCTTAAAGATACTCCTCAACAATTTAAAAGCAAAACCTGAAAAAATACTAGCTAAAGAGCAGGCGAGTTTTCGGAAAAGTAGAAGCACCACAAAACAAATATTCAACATTAGAAAATCAACGCCACCTATTCTATAACTTCATCGTCTTCACGAAGAAATTTGACTGTGTGTGGCATGCTAGATGCAAGCAGTGCAGTACTCATTCAAAATGACATAGAAAGATTTTCAAAACAATATTTTCCCACTCTCTGTGTCAATTATGTGTCCGGAATTAAGTAGATGAC